TTTTTAATGCAGCTCTAAATGCAAAAACATCATTTAGTCAAACCTGTTAGCGTAAAACGTTATGCCATATGACAGATTTAACATCTACTTCAACTTTAACCCCCAAGGTGGAAATTTGTCTACTAAGGTAAGTAAAACATTATAGCTGACTAATGTATGTACCATGTATTGCCACCATAGGAACAGTGGTTACATAACCTTTGGAATCAGCCACATGCATGGGCATGTGTCATAGGTGTGCTCCGCACGAATGCACCTCTGGTTCAAACTCTCAGTACAGAGGATGAAGAGGACACTGAAATACCCCAAATAATATAAGCAGCTCTCTTACGGAAAATGTGAAACAGAGTTCTGCAATTTTCATGGAGTGTTATGTTTTTGGGATGGATGCTTTAAAAGTTGCTTAAAGGTCAATGGTGTTTATGATTATTAACTATTGACAAATCGCATACATAGTAAGCAGCTCTATTACAGACACACAAACCGCCATTGTTGTGGTTTTTCACCACAAAAGTGAAACGATGAACCTGATTTTTATTTTGTTAAGCCTGCTGACAGCTAAGGGGTTGCTGTCACATATAGGGGACAGTTAAAGGGGTTAATATGGCCAGTGGAACAGAGCTGGTCAAAATATGCCTGATATTACACAGTTAACCTGGCCAGCAGTGGACAGTGAAAGAGTTAAAGCTTCAACACTCAGGACAGCAGACCTGAGAGGTAATGCATGGCTGATGAGTGCTGGGCTAATGGGCAGCTCTGTTAGCTGGAAATCAAATGACTGCCTCTGCATTTTAAGTCCCTCTGTCGCCTCCATTGACTGACTAAAGATATTTATCTCCGTCGTGTCAGGGGATGGGGGGGTGTTCAACTTAAAAGAGAGAGAGAAGAGAGAAATAAAAAGAGGGGGTGAGGGAAAAGAAGGGAAGGGCATCTTAGAAAAACCTGAAGACCTAATGCAATTATTAGAAACTTGACCACAAATGACAACTCATCTGGTGCCGGCTCTGTAATTAATTGTCTGCTAGGAGGAGCGCAGGGGTTTGGGGGGGGGGTTTGGGCAGGGGGAGGGGGCAGGGCGAGGGGAGGGAGGGCGAGAGAGCAAAGAAATAGAGGCAGGTGGGTGATTGGGAGAGGGCAGAATGACAGGCGAAGAGAGACACAGGGAAGGAGAATGAGGTAAGATGAGGCAACAGCTTAAAGATCCTCGTTAGACTGCAAGAGCGAGTGGAAACAGAACGAGTGCGGGTGAGACGGCGAAAAAGGAAAAAGTATGCAATTGGAGTGGATAAAAGAAGGGAGAGGCGAGGGAGATAAAAAAGCTGGAATGAGAAAAGTGCAGACAGCGTGATGGATCCAGGGACCATGTTAAATTGGTCAGTATTGACCTCGCCAGGGCTCAGTTTAACACTCACAGTTGTTTGTCCAGTTTTACTTAATTGACCTTGGATAACTGATTACCATTTCCTGGAATAACAGTCCATTACTCTCGCTCTGTCTCTGCTCCCCCCCCTCCACTTGCCCATTCTCTGGTTTCCTGGCTTGTTGCTTTTTCGATGGGAAAAGAGAGTTAGTCTGCGTATAAAATACCCACTAATCCAAGAAATAATGGGCCAACGTTTGGCATTTTTACTGACCCTGATCCTTCTTTCAGCCCCAGAAAGTGAGAATCCATTGGCTGCTGCATTAAATGTTTATATTGTCTGGTAAAGAATTAGTTTTTTATTAGTTTTTGTGTTCCCCAAACTAGCTTTTAATTGAGCATCAACATCACTACTTGTGCCCTTTTTTATAGGTCTTTTTCACCAAAGACATTGTCACTTGTCCCAGTAGGAAAAGCACAGGTGTGAATGATAAAATTATTGATGACTGAATTCCTTTTTGCGGCTTAAATTTCAGGGTCCTGACACCTGTGCATGTTGGCTCACTGTCACTCTGTAGTAGCTCACTGGGACACTTAGAACAGAGCCATCATTAATGTTATTAGTAATGCCTCTGCTTTTCCTTAGTCAGTGCTAATGCGATTGTACCAAAATTTTCCTAATTGAAGTCAATCACTAATTGGTTAAACATTACATTAGTTTTGGCAGACTTCTACCTAAAGCAACTGACATTTGGAGAACTTTTGGGGTACAGTTTCTGCTCAAGGACACGTGGACATAAACAGGAGTAGCACAGGATTAGCAGTCCCAATTATTTCCGCAAAATTATAAAACAAATATGGCCTATCATTGACAAACTAATTCTTATAGTCATACTGTAGCAAAAACAGTAGTCTTTAGACTGCATTGCTCACTTGTAAATGAATAAATATTTATACTGAATAAATAAATAAATATGTATACTGTATAAAGCACTAAGTAAGATTCAGTTTGTTGATTGAGGACAAACTAAAATATGTGGCGTGACTGCCACGCCTGTCACAGGGAATCACAAATCATTGTCTGTCTCATTCCTGTCTTCCCATGTCTTCACTTCATTCTTCCTTCCATCACTCCCCTCCCTCCCTCCCTCCCTGCTGTGTGCAAGGGCTATAATGTGCTCCTATGGTTGTAGTAAGCAGGCCACTGCGTCTCTGAGGCCTTGTGCTACACCACCATTACTATCTGGCCTGCCTCCACTACAAATTGGATGAACAGGCACTGACACATTTTCAATATTATTACATTAAACCAAGTGGATTTTGATTGATAACCTAATATTGGCCTAATGCAAAACATCAATCATGGCAAGTATATTAATTATTTAATATTGTGGCGTAATTCAGAAATCGATGCCGCCTCTGCGTTGAAGGCACAGAGAACGGAGGGAGGGAGGGGGGGAAGAGAGAGATAAGGAGAAAAGGAAAGCTCTGTCCCTGAAGACCTCAGCAGATTATATGATGTTTTGAAAAGAGAGATGAGGATGTAAAATGGTGTGTGTGTGTGTGTGTGTGTGTGTGTGTGTGTGTGTGTGTGTGTGTGTGTGTGTGTGTGTGTGTGTGTGTGTGTGTGTGTGTGTGTGTGTGTGTGTGTGTGTGTGTGTGTGTGTGTGCCTCTAATGGATAGAGCGATCCCTTCGGCCCTGGTGCGGACAGTGCTGGACAGCTTGCCCTTGATAAAGTCAAGACAACAGATGACAGAGTGGGAGATTAAATGCAAGTGAAGAGCTTAATAAAGGTTGGATCACAAAAATAAAAGACAGGGAAAAAAAGAGATGTGGTTATAAGGAGTGCGAGGGGAGAGAGGGGGAAGAATAAAGCAAAGGGAAATGAGTGGAGGAGGAGGGATTGAGCGCTGCGTCTCCCCTGTGTTAGATTGTTTCTCACTAATTGCGCTTCATTAGCGGATTACACACACTGTCACCACGGTAACAAATGTCTTGCTGTCTGGTTGCCGGGCGCCCGTCATGTATAATGAATGTGGCGGGGTGTTTGTCAGAATGTAATGTAATTACAGCTAGATGAAGTTTGCCTTAAGTGGTTGACTTGTCTGCATGTGGCTCAGTGACAGAGCACAGAATAAACAAACAAACATCCTTTCTTCATGACTGCCTGTTTTCCAGTCGTTTCTTACTTTTTTTTAATACTCCTGCTAGGGATTTCTGTCATTCCTCCATACTGTTATTTAGACATGTCGATGGTGTGGGAATGGCCGAGTATGGGGCCTGATGGATGGGTGGATGGATGAATGGATGGATGGATGGATGGATGGATGAATGGTTGGATGGAGGAAAGTAGGGGAGGGTGGGATGGATTAGACAGTATGTAATTTTAGAGATGGTGTAGATTTACACTGTGATGCTGCTGGCTGCATTAGCAACTGAAGCCTGTCGATAAGCCTTCCTCCCTCTCAGCGCACACATACACATACGCAGACAGAGTGAAACGCCACGGCCAGGGTGGAGTTGTCAGTAATGGGGGCCAGAGTTGTATGAGGGTGGGAGGAGGTGGCGGGTGCTGGGATCGGGGACGGGGCTGGGGCTGTTTGTGTTCTCTTGATCTGTTGATTTCCACTGCTGCAAATTTGAAATGTGCCAAAATTGCATCTATTATTTACTGCCAATTTGCTCTTTTTAAAACCGACTGTGCCCCCCCCCTCCAACCCTTCCACTTCCTCGGCTTGCCATTCTGCCGTTGCTACCCTGATTATCACACGCACATTTTTTATTAATTCACATATAATAAGCTCAGAGTTCTCTCTCTACTTGGAAATTATTATTATTATGACTGCCAGCAGTGTGGCAACAGTATTAGTTAACCTCTGTCTGGTTGTGGACGCAAACACACACAGAACTTCAATCTTGAAAGGTTGCAATTAAGATCTTCATTATCTCTTTTTTTTTTTCTCCTTTTGATTGACCAAAAGCTTTTTGATGTAATCAAGATCAGTTGCACAACTACTCCATCCTGCTCAATCGATATCTAAAAGAGAAACACAATGGGATGATGACTGTATTCCAGCTAGAGCTGAAACAATTAGTCGATTTGTCAACTAGTTGATCTACAGAACATTAATCTGCAGCCTTATGATAATTGATTTATTATATATTAAATATCATTATTTAAGTAGTTTTTCAAGCAAATATGGTACAAATTCACTGGTTTCAGCTTCTCAAATGAAAATATGTTCTGGGTAATTAATCTTCTTTTGAAAATGAACTCAATATGTTTGGACTGATGGTTGGACATAGGACATTTTTAGCTAATTTCTTCATCTTGGGCTCTGGAAAGTTTATGTAGACCAAAAAATGAATCAAGTGATTGAGAAAATCCCAAATTTCAGCCCTAATTCCAGCTAGTCAGAATTAGCCAAACAATTTAATGTGTTAAAATATTTAGAAATTGGTTCAGAAATGTTCATAAAGCACATTTGAATAGAGTTTGTTCTTCTGTCTCTCATGTGTGTATTTATGTGTGTATTTTTTTCGTGTGTGTGTGTCTGCAAAAATGCTCATTTTATTAAATGACGTTTTTTGTGTCGGCACTTTATTTACAGTGGGGGAAATGTGTTGTTGTGTTGCAGGGACGCCGGGAACATCAAAGGCAGATTAGAACATCTGGTAAGTTCTATTTGACACCCCTCTTTTATCCCCCATACAGACACACAGACACACGCACACAGGCACACAGCACACACACACACACACACACACACACACACACACACACACACACACACACTTTGATATCTGCATTCCTAATGAAACCTCCGGAACTGGAGCTGAATACCTGCAGTTAACAGGCAGGGAGAGAGAGACAGAGAAAACGCGGACGGAGGGAGGGTAGTGTCTCCCCTAGGGCCTGGTCCAGCTTTTATATTAGTGTTTCATTTATCCCTGATTGTGCCCAAACACACACACACATACATAAACACACACACAGGTTATCCACTCTTTTCTCCCTTATTTAGTTCTGGATATTTGCATGTGTGCATACCTGTTTGCACATGGATGTACGAAAGGAGAATATCTTTTTTTGTACCTTTCAGACATACAGTAACTATTGGAACCACACACACACACACACTCACACTCACACTCACACTCACACTCACACTCACACACACACTCACACTCACACTCACACTCCCTCTCTCTCCTTCTGTCAGCATGGGGCCTTTCCTCAGTCTTCTCCCATCCATGAAGGGGCCCGGAAACGCTCTCCTGGGATAGCCCTGAAAATTTAATGGCGAACGTTTCCAAGGTTTCTCTTGCTACTCGCTTTAATACGGGGTCAGAGTGCCGTGCAACAAAGTGAAAAGGTTCTTTCTCCTCTTTTTGGGTGGGAAGGAACCAAGGTTTGATGTGCCCCATATTCCAGGGGATGAATTATAGACAGGGGTCAGCGAGGGTCCCGGCTCTCTGTGGATGTCACATGCCCTCCCTCCCTTGCCTCGCTGCATACTAAACTGCAGCTCCCAGCACCCTACGCAAATGACTCCCCGCCCCACCACACGTTACGCAAATGACCCTGAATATGCCACACAGATGACTGACCCCAAAATTCAAGCAGTTCGCAGTAACTCTCAGCTTGAGCGAGTGGCAGATAAAAGACCTCAGATTGTTCCTTAATGTCATTATTGACTGTATTAATAACTCTCATAGATTTAAGAGTGGAGTGATTTTGGCTGTGTTTTGCTCACCGTTTACATCAAAACTGTGTCGAGTTGCACCCCAAATACATTTGTACTATTATTATATGTACAATTATAGTACACTACTGTTCCACTGTGGGACTCTGTCAGGGCACTCTATGGTTTATAGATTTTTCTCTCAGAATTCAGACACTTAAACAAAATGACGGACATTAAATATAGTACACGATATCGTAATGGTCTAGTTCAGGTTGGAGATGTCTGTGGGTGGGTCTGTAGGTGTGATTGATGTGGTACTCCATAAAAGGTGGTGTGAATTATTCAGGAGAGGATTACATACATAAACAGCATTAATCAATATGTGTATTGGCAGTTATACCAGGGCAAACATCTTGAGATGAGTCTTCCTTTTAAAGGCAAGTGGATGAATGTGAACTAATTTCTGATTTAAAAAAAGTTATTTATTTTCTTTTTAAATGTTTTACATAGTATGTATCATATTATCATTTTATACTAATTCACTGAAGTTATACACAAAAAAATGTTACGCAATAATGTCCCAGCTGGGATTGGTAATGCATGTGTGAATATATGTGCGTCAATGTTAGCTTTCTTGGTAGGGGTTAGTGCAGCCAGTTTGAATGCTTGCTTTGTATAGTTTTTGCATTAAGTGGACCTATAGGCACAGATTATAACGTGTTAACATTCGATTCTTAGTTACTGCCGTGTCTTTATCAGGGTAGCTCAGGAGTTAAACATTACACACTCATAAACACACATTGCTATGTTTACCAGTGCATTATATGTCTCTGGGAATCTGAATACCTGCATACTGAGCGTTTGAATTTATGGGTGTGTTTATGCTTATGGGGAGATTGCACCCCAGTAGTCAGCTGCCTGGGGAGTGCAAGACTCTGATTACGATTCGGGACGGAGAACCGTAAATAATGAAGCTCGTCTCCCTCTGAGGTAGAGTTGCCGGGTTGTTCGAAATGTTGTTTCCCTCCATACCTCACACATATATCCCCGTAGATTTCTAAACAGGCATTTATGACGCTCTTTTGATTTACTGTGCTTAAGATTAGTGCATCAACCATATTGACACTTATCATGATGTCGCTGAGCTCAAGTCATATTATCCTTTCAACCAGCTACCTTGAAACTCGTTCCTCCTACCCAGGAATCACTTTTTATTCTTACAGATGATAAATTACTTTCTAATAGTTTAAATAATTGAAATCATTTGCAGTAGTTGTCATTTACTGTGCCGTTGTTTACTCATAACAAAAATAATACTTTTTCACACTGATGTAACAATCAAGCTTCTGTTCAAATAATTCCTGTGCTTGATTTTTCATGATGAATACTAACGTTACTGCCTCCTGTTAAGTTAACAGTCTGAGTGAATGACTGGTGCAGTAATTAAGTGGGCAATTAAGATTCATGTGGTTTGAGGTTTGTTTTATTGTTCTTGTTTGTTTTGTTTTCATATTTCAGCAGATCAGTGGCAATGCAGAGAAAAAGACTGAAGTTAATTGCTCCCAGCGCTCTGCGTTAGTTTCTGCTTTTGTACACACACAAGCACACACACACACACACACACAAACGAAAAACAAATACACAAGCACCAAAGTTTGAGTTGGACGATTCCTTGCTCTGGGAGAAACAGAGCGATAGTGAAAGAGGTGGCCTACAGCAGCTAATCAGTCCAGATGCACAGCTTCTTAGAGAGAAGTAGAAGAAAGCCAGCAGCTCAATCAATACATGAAGAATCAGCCTCATCAGGATTACTGGCTCAATCAGCAGCTGTACCCATCGTTCTACCGTGCACACTGCCCGGGGAAGGATAGAAGAAGAGAGGGGTAGAGGTAGAACAGAGGAGACAGGGAGATACATCATCTGTCCTGGGATCGGAGTGTGAATAGGACATGATGGTGGAGAGCAGGAAAGGCTGGTTTACAGGTCAGTCCAGGGCTGCAGGTTGAGTTGAGGTCATGATTCACGGAAAACTGAAATCACTAAAACTGTGTTGTTATTGGAGACTTTGTGTTTATTATTTATGGGACATGGTAGGCCTTTTGTAAAAACAATGAGAAGGTCCTTTAAAGTTTGCCAATGGAAAAAGTAAAATTTTAATTTTATTATTATTATTATTAAACATTGTTTAGGTGGAACTATTAGGCACACACGAAGCCCCTTGTGCTCTCATCCGTCTCAGAATTAATCCTAAATGTACTAAGTATATTGTCAGTTTAGTATACATAATGAATCCTTTTTGTATCGAATGAACTTTATTTTTTAATATTTCTTCACCATTGAACGCTTACACTGATTCCTTAAGTCTTAAAGGTTGTGCAGTAACTGTAGTTTCTCCAGCAGGATTTCTTACTTATGTATGTTCTGGACAGAACATCCAGTTCACGCAGTCCGCTGAAATACTATATTTGGCTCTCTGTTAAATCTGCTGCCAGAGAAATGCTTCATTTAATTTCTGCTGTGAATTGCTGCCCCTCTACTACTGCTATAGGCTAATATTGGCACAAAGTCTGTCAATAATTCAAACTGTTGTTGCCCAAATGCCCCAAAAACCCTTCGTTGGACAGTATCAGTATTGTTGGAAGAGGTCAGTCATTGAACTTGTTTAACCTGATGTCATTGCCATCAGGAGGGTAAAAATGTACTTGTTGAGTAAAGTTAATGTGCTGTACACATGGCTTACTTCAGGGATGGCTGATGTCGTCCCAGTGTCCCTTGGTGAGTTGAAGAGTTTACTGAGGCAAATAGCCTTGTTGGCCTACTGACAGATAGGCAACAGCAGCTGTACTCAGGACAACACACTCACACACCAAGAATGTGACAAATCTGACCTCACTGAATATGGCAGTGAGTTGACCTAGAGCTGTCTTAGTGTAAAATACAAGTTGAAGAGAGTTCAGGGGTCAGAATGATCTCTATTCATTTCTTTTCTTTAATCTGCTTCCGTCCATGTTGTCAGACTTTAATTGTCTCGTTAAACACTTTCTCTTTATCTCTCACTGTTTCTTTTTCTTTGTATTCTTTGTCTTTCTTCCTCACTAATATGATTGTATAGGATAAAGAGGTGAAAACAGCTCAGAGAGAGAGATACTGGGCAGATAAAGGATGGGGGGGGGGGTTGATAATCTGCAAACAGATTTCCATGCTTATTACACTAATGATTTCATGATATTTGATGTGGCGGCGGGGGTTGGGAGGATGTAGAAGCATGGGTGGAGGGGGTGGGGTGGTCTCTTTCTCTCTCTCATCTCGACGCCGCCGCTAAATGATGGAGTAATTCGAGTGACCTCTGACTTGAGGCAGGCCCAGACGTAATTGCATGTCATTCTGGCACGGAAGGAAGGGGGGGGGGGCTGTACGAAATTCAAAGTATCCCCCCCATCTTTTCCCTCCTTTCTCGCATATCACTTGTTTTTTCTGTCTCCTTCTCATGTGTCCCCATCACTGTCTTGCTCTCCGTCTTGTTGCCTGTCTCACAGCGGGCCCGCTCCTCGAGTGTCTCCCCCCCCCCCAAAAAAAAACACCCCCCAAACAAAAGAAAGATTGCATTAATTTTCGAATGATGATATTACATTAAGCGCGGAGATCTCATATATCAAAACGTGAGAACTACTCCCTTACTGTATGTGCTTCATCTTAATGGTATCGCTGGATGTCAAGGGCATGGAGGAAATTAAATCGGAAAGTGCAGATAGACCAAAGAAGATATTATCTCTGGATGATTGCAGTTTTGATAGGTATTCCAGTGAATTTCATTTTCTCCGGATGGGGAGAAGATGAGTTAGCCTGCACATTTGCTCATTTTTCTTCTACATGATTTATGTGAGTTGAGTATAAAACTCTCTTCCCCCCCCACCCCCCCTTCACCCTCACCACCTCCCCCTTTATCGGGAACACATACATGCATGCACGCGCACACACATACACGGG